TTTGTAAACCCTAGGAATGTATTAAAACACTAAACATGTATACACTAACCGAAACCCTAAACCCTAAACACTAACACTTAACGAAACACTAAACCCTAAACCCTAAACCCTAAACCCTAGTAAATGCTGAAATGTAAACCCTAAACCCTCACGAAAACAAAACCCTAGAGAAGAGAGAAGAGAAACAAAAGGGAGAGAGAAAGGGTTTAGGGTTTAGGGTTTAGGGTTTAAGCGGGCAGAAGAGAGACAAGAAGGAGACAAACAAGAAGGAGACAGAAAGGGTTTAGGGTTTAGGGTTTAGGGTTTACGGTACCTCGCTCTTGGGTGTCTCATCCCCCCAGCCCGCGAATACCATCGACGAGCAGTGTACATGCTGCTGCTGCTGCTGCTGCTGCTGCTGTTGCTGCTGTTGCTGCTGCTGCTGCTGCTGCTGCTGCTGCTGATGCAGTTGGTGCTGCTGATGCTGTTGCTGCTGCTGCTGCAGCTACGCGGGGTTGAGAGGCTCAACGCAGCATTTCTTCTTGCTGCTGCTGCTGATGCTGCTGCTGTTGTTGTTGTTGCTGCTGCAGCCCGGAGAGACAGCTGGCTGGGACGGCTTGCTGCTGCTGCTGCTGTTGCTGCTGTTGCTGCTGCTGCTGCTGCTGCTGCTGCTGCTGCTGCTGGGTATCTAAGGAGCAGCGGCAGCCGCTGCGTGAGGCCGTCCATACTAAATCCAAGTCGAGGGTTTAGGGTTTAGGGTTTAGGGTTTAGGGTTTAGGGTTTAGAGATGCATCCGCTCTCCCTGGGGCCCCCTGGGCCCCTCAGGGGCCCCCCACTTGTTAGGGTTTAGGGTTTAGGGTTTAGGGTTTAGGGTTTGTTGATAAGCATATATAATATTAATGCAAATAAACAATCTAGGAAAAATCCTAGTAGTAGACAACAACAGCAGCAGCAGCAGCAGCAACAGCAGCAGCAGCAGCAGCAGCAGCAGCAGCAGCAGCAGCGGGGGCCCCCCCCAGGCTGTGACTGCATGCGCTGAAGCAGCAGCAGCAGCTGCTGCTGCTGCTGCAGCAGCAGTTTTTAAATATTTTGCTGCTGTAGCGTTTGCAGCAAAAGAGCCCAGACAGCTCACTGCTCGAAGCAGCAGCAGCAGCAGCAACAGCAGCAGCAGCAGCAGCAGCAGCG